ATGAGAATATATTATAGTATATAACAGTGTTATTATTGTCTATTTTTAGAGCCATTTTTACTAGTTTATCTACCTGAATAAAAAGTATGTCATGACTTTATTCTTTATTGATTTTATGCTATTACACTGTAAATCATAATAATTAGATAATTGAGTACAAGTTTTAAATGAGTCTGTATTCTGAATTTTTTTTTTGTTTAATGTTTTGATACACTTGTTATTTTCTTAATCAGTTTAATTGAGATGATATTGACTATTGTAATACTTCTATATAGGATGTAGTCAATTGTAATTATAATTACAAATATCTCTACTCTATAGACCAAGAACTGCCCTTTTATTTTCATGTTTGTTACTTTTTCTATAAATACAGATATGTTTAATATATGTAAGTATCATCTGTTGTGATCTGGAAATTGTTTTTTCTTTTAGGATTATGTATATATTTCTGAACTTTCTTGAGTATATGTTAAAGAAGTTTATTACTTTCTATATGTACAGAAGAACAGTTGAAGTAGTATTTATTAGGACTGAGTCAAAACTGTTATTCAATTCTTTGAGTCATCTATAGATGCTATTCAGTGAGACTTGAATTCTTAGTTTGCTTTCAGAATTGTTTGTATGAATTGATTTCAATGTTAATAGTATTGATACAGTGATGGTTTTGTGTTGTGAAGCTCAGAAGCAGTATATACCTTGTCTATTGTGGATGTACTCTTTGAGTTCATAGCCATGGTATTTCTCTATTGAATATACTGTATGTCATTCATAATGTAGTGTCATAGTTTGAGGCTGTTGACCTGGATGCCGATATGCTTATCTAGCATGGTAGTATTGTTTTTAGTTGCAATGTACAATGATATCTCTTGAGATGTAATATTGTTATTGCTTTCTAATGCAGTGAGTTTGATTTAAGTTTCCGGGTTAATTGTATTATACTTATTATTGTTGTTGATGTATCATTGTGTTAAGTTTTTTAGATGTTGGAACCAGTTGAGTTGTTGTTTTTTTTGTTAGTTTTATTGTGTAGTGTGCCGACTTGATGTCATTCCAGGGCCCTAATGCAGTAAGTATTGAGTAGTTGTTTCACCCATATTATATTGTGTGCCCTTAGACATTTTCTTATTGTGTTGTATGTTGGTAATCTGACGATATCTTCAATGTATGTCAGCCTCTTTGTGTGGTCACTTGCTTCTGTTTAGTGATGTTTTGTGCTTGTGCATTGTAGAGAATGTCTTGAATTCATACATTTCTCAAAGATCTTCGCTAATGCTCGAATTCTATTATTAAATTGGAAATTAATTTCTTTAATTATTAAAATATTCACAAAGAATTATGTTCATAATTAAAGTTACGTCCAATGTGACTCATGTACTTTGAGTTCGTTTACGGCGAATTTTCCAACGCATTTATTACACCACTAAGTTCAGTGCAGTGATATTGACAGGATAATCATCAGTATCGCGCTAATTATTATAATTTGTACTACTTGGTACCCAATAAAAATTCGATCTGACTTAAAATGATATTTTCAGAAAAATACTGTTAAAAATGAGAGACTGATCTGTGGGAAGATTATTATATTAGGCCTTGAGTTTATCAATATTTAGTCATCAGTATATAGTGAACATCAACACCGTACGCCCTTGATTCCGACACAAGTGTAAAAAGCACTTCAACCAAATCCTCATTCAGACAATGGTTGCTACAATTACTGTATCTCCATTCCATCATCCAATGTACATCAACAACATTTTTTGAGGAGATAACGATAAAAGTAGTTGTTAATGAACGTATTTAATTGGTACTCAGATAAATCAATTTCGACACATAGTAACGAAAAAAAAGTCTAGACAACCAATTAACTCTGACAGCGCTTTTCGAATCAAATAATTCTCGCTGATTAATGTCTCGCTTCAATTGTCAAATATTTTTAAAGAATTTATTTTTAGGAATTTAAGGTTTGACATTATCGAAAAATATTTAAAATTTAAAACATTCTTTAATTTTATCAGATAAAAATTTTATTGGTTCAAACAACCTGCAATATACCCAATTTTATATTTCTCGAAACCTTATTCTTTACAAAAATCATCGATACCTGTCTTTGATCAAGAAAAGAATTAATTTCATCTATTTTTATGTATATTAATGAGAAAGTAAACAAAGAACAGTAAAAATTGAAAACTCCTTTTCATTTGTTTTTTATACGAATCGACCGTTTATAAATACGTATCATGGTTTTTGGAATGCTATTTTGTTTGACTCGGCGATTCATTTGAAATTAATAAAGGTATTTCTTTTTGTCAACAAATATCTTTGTCTAATTTATTGATTCTTTTTAAATTTAGATGCACAACATGAGCCTTTCAGACGAAAGCCATCCTATTTTGAAAAATAAAAGTATTTCACATTTTCAGAAGATAATAATAATCAGGTGTACAGAGTATAACATGAGAGTTGGTGGGCTAAATGACGTTGTTGCATTTCATAATGCTTGGTCGATGCTTTTAAAAATCCAAACAGTTCTATTGGATACAAAAATTTGATTGAACTGTATAATGCTGGACAGAATAAAACAGATTATGATATCCCCAATTTTGCCCGTCATCTAAAGAATTATCAAAACCCATACGAGAGGCAAGATTTGTTTGATGCGGCAACCGTGATAGACGATTACTGTGAAGATATCAAAAGGAATTCTGGAATTAAAAGAGGGATGTTAACGGGAATAACTCACAATCGTACTCAGATTTGCAAGATCGAACAAATATGTAAAAATTTTGGTCTAAATTGTGATAATGATATTAATACGATGTTAGATAATATATTGTTGCATTCTTTCAAATTCGTATGAATTAAAATATATACAGTAGATGCTGTAAATTATATAAATTTAAATTTTTTAAATAAATATGTCCATACGTATCAGTGACAATATTATTAGCTGTAGTGTCTAATTACGTAATCCTTTACAAGTATTACATACAGTACGTGACTGTATGATGCATAGTGTTGGGGTTCGTGGCAAGTTGGTCACTAAACCTGGGATAAATTGGCATAACAAAGACACACTAAAGGTAGAAAGAGTCATTTAGGTAAATCTTCTTGCTATTTGTTCCTTACGAACAAATTTCACTTTCTTTTTACTAACTTGAATCTGCATGTAATTTGTGTGCATTTTTACATCCTTTTTTATACTTCACTATAGCACTATTCATATATAAAATATCTAATCTGATCACTTATAATGCACTTTTGACTCGACTATCTCGGAATCTAGGATAACTTATTTCGGCCTATAGGATATACATATGATGAACCAGATAAGCCATGGTTTCATGTCGTGACTTTAGTATATAATGCTAGCAAATAAATGTCGCAAAGAAATGAAAGAGTCGAAAATGGAAAATTTTAAAAGTTTCACACTTCACTTTGTATATTCAATGCGCACGTGATGGCGTTGCGCATTGGCAAACATTGTTTCCATTATCATTTATTCGATTGCGATCCATGCAATACCTCGATATGAAATCCCATAATTTTGAGTGATGTCCACGCGAGACCGTGGAACACCGATGCTCATTATTAATATTTTCTGACTGAATAGCCCACGCGAAGGTGCCACGCATATTTATAACACTAGATACGTACATAGTATCGTGGGCTGATCAGCGAGTTTGTCGTTAATTACTCAAGGCCTGCGTAACCTGCTCAAACATACATGCGGGGTATATATCTAAGATTATATATAATTATCAAGCCTTGCGTGCTTTACTATTTCATATCCTTTTCCTTCTTTCCATATCTAACATAATGAAGGATTACATGGTTCTTTGACTATACCAATTATTATATATTTTCCGCGGTTGATTACCTTAGCATACTAATCCTCGTCCTTTTTGTCTATTACTCTTTTTCGCGCATTTCTTTAAAGGGTATGGTGATAGTCTTATCTAATGCTGTTCGCGTAAATGTCATTTTTCGAGATCGCATATCACGTGACCACGTCTAAATTTCGCGAATTTTATACACCCTAATTTTACTTTAAACGAATGATGATTCACACTATATTGATACCTGGTTGTTCCCACACTAGTGTTCAGCACATAATTTCTCAGTATCTCTTGAGAAGGATAGGGTGAATACGAAAAAGTCGGAAAAAAGTAGACGGCAAAGGAGGAACTAATTAACTTGTCCAAGCATTATTATTTCGCATACAGTAGCGCTCACTCCGCTTCATATAATTTGAGCTACTAGTGTATGAATATAAATTTTGTGATTAGCTATAACTAGTTATTATGTTAGTACAATTTTACCAAAGAAATGTTGGAACTGAGTTGAGTGTAATAGATTATGCGTTCATTTCGGGCATAAAAAATTGGATTCACATAAATTCATAAGAATGCAAACATTCTACACTTGCCATAAGTATTGGAATAAGATGGTATAGTTGTTTTCATGATTTAGGGACCTAATGTTATTGGGAAAAGCCTGGAGATCTGTTACAAGGCCGCTAAGTTTAATCATGTAAGGTACTTTTGCTAACTCTGCTACATCATGGAAATATGGATGGTACTTTCTATCACCTAATATTGAATGAACTTTAGGAGTTATTGGGTGTCAATATTTAGATATAATCTTTCGTCGAACTAATCATTTTGAGTTGAATCACGGTGCTCGTATCTTATCCTTCCAATGTTTTTTATTAGGATATGTTTCTTTTCTAACATTTTAACAGTTACCGCCAATGAATTCACTCCGATAGCACTATGAACTATTCATGTCATCTAAATACTCAAATGCTAAAATATCAATAGTTATTCATATTCCTGGCGTCCCTAGCTATAACCAGGGTGATATCCTATATTACAAATGTTGATTAAAATAACTCGAATCAATATGAAATATATTTTTTATTGATAAAAAAAGTCGTACACACTTCTTCCGCCGTCGAATAAACCTCTATAATAGAGTTTTCGCGCCAACCATCTTGACCATTATTCTGTAGATCTAGTCTCTAGCTACCTATTTAGGAGCATCTAAAATTCAAAGAATGAATTCAAAATGGATGGCGAATCGTACAACGAGTATGCTTGTGAAATTATTTTTATCTTTTAAAGATAAAAATTCCGACTTCGCGTTCTTTCAAGTTGCTTTCAAATATTCCATTCTCAATGAAAACGTGACTCTCCTTCTCGCTGTCTATTTCACCAACCCCATGTAGCAGACCAAAAGGGAGCAAGTCCTTAATGGTTATACTAAAATTTGTAATGGGTCCCTTATTACTATTGACCACAATCAACAAAAGAGTATTCTTATTTTCTGAAATCCATCCACCAGCATGTATGTCCAAATTAGAAGAAATGATTATATGAGAAGGCGGCAATTTTGGAGTCGTAAGCATATAATTCGAAAGTTCTTTGATCTTTTTGCTTAAAACGGTAATTTGATCTCTGACAGAGTGTTCAAGAATTAAAGGAAACCTCCAAAACGTGAGCCCCTATCAATAGATGACCGATGTTACAAAAATTAGAATACTCCCCTAAAATGTGGAATCAATTTCTTTAAAAAGGATACCTTATATCCGTATATTATTGAAAGATACCACATGGCTCTGAATTCTTGAGAAGTCGGGGCTCTGTCCCACCAAGAATTTTGATCATAAAATGCTTGGAGAACCATCCACTTCACGATTAATTCACGCCCAATAAGACCCAAATCAGCCATGTATTTCTGAGTTCTTTCAGGGATATCGAGGGAGAATTTTCCAACACAATTGTCACAACCGCATACACCACTATATTCAGTGCAGTGATACGTGTTGATTCCAAAGGGATAAACGTCTAATGTAATATCGTTAACTATTTTCACTAGAAATGTCAATCAATTATTATAGGTAGACGCGCACCGGTACTCAATATATCGACACTATCCGCGTAAAAAGCAGCACTATGTTGGCAGTTTAACACCAGAGAAGTCGGGTGATACGGATCAACACTTTTTATGGCTTCGTGGGCTTCAAAAACGTCAGAAACATTTGTCCATTGTTCGCCGTCGGGCTCATCTGCCTCCAATTGGCATAATTTCAAACTTAGAATGAGTAAGCTGCCCATGAAATTAAAAATTTTAAAGGATAAATAATGAAAAGACTTACTATATACCATGCAATTAAGCTTGAATAATTTTTAAATTGGTTTATTTGATCAATAACCTTTTGAGTATCGGTATAATCGTGTCGAAACGAATATTGTATATAGATCCCGCCTATCATGTCAGCTGCTTGAAACATTTGATGGATGAATGAAATGTTCGGGTATGGAGGGTCGGGGTTAATTATATTGTAATTCAGATCTTTGAGGGTCTGAAGGTTGGCCCGTATATCCCCTACCCTTATGAATATGGTTTAATGATTCCCGAATTCCAAGAAAATTCATGATAAAATTTAAAAAAGATCAACCTTTAGCCAGCCATCCACCAACATCAACATATGGACCGATAGGAAAAATAGTTTCATTTGTTGATGTGAAGATTCCACCGTATAGCCGATCGATCTTGACAGCCCTTGGACCTAATGATAAAATGATATTTTCAGAAAAATATTCTTAAGAGAATTAATAAACGGGAGACCGACCTGCGGGAAGATGATAAAGTTTTGAACTTGTAACATGAACTAATGTGTCATAGAATGAAATCTTAACATCGTACGCCTTCAACTTTGGTACGATCTTTGCAAGCGAAAAAGGTACTTCGACCACATTTTCTTCCACATCGATTCTAGCTTCCACAATTATTTCCGTTCCATCGTCTAATGATGCTTTGACAACAACGCATGAAGTAGTATTGGTCACTGAGACCAATAGTGAGCCAAACGAATCGGTACTCAGATAAGGTTGAGTTCGAAACATGGCGGTGTATCCATTGCTCAGATTCGGCACGAATGGGACTGGCTCACGTGTTGGCGGAAGTCTAATTGTTGAAGTTGTTGGTGAAAAGATGTCATGATGACATGTTCCATCAGTGCTTTCCGAATTAACTAATTCTTGTTTGCTGCATTGATTAATATCTCGCTTCAACTGTTGTATATTTTTGAAGAGTTTATTTTTCGGAATATAAGGTTTGCCGCAACAATATTTTATCTCGGTTGAATATTCTGTTTGGACTTTGGCACAAACCAAAAGAAACGTAAATAATAACAAAACATTAAGTTTGGTTTTCATTTTTTTTTTTTTTTTTTTTTTTTTTTTTTTTTTGCGCAAAAAAATCGTCTGTATAAGGTGCTGCCCTTTCTAAAAAATACTTTTTAAATGTATTGTACCGTGACTCTCATAAATAATGCATCACTTGACCAAAAAAACATTTCAAAGATCGCGATAAGTAATGTAAAAACTTTGTTCACAATATGTACAGTATACTGTAATTATTATGATTTTTTTACAATCTACGTAGTGATAATGTTTTCGAAAAATAAATTTTTAACAATAAACAATTATAATTTATTTTATCTATATTTGAAGTTCTTCTCTTGTTTGATAAATATTATCAATTTTTTTTTTCAATCATATCACATATTGGTTTAGAACCATATTTGAATTGATCTATACTTTCTCACGGTTAATTGAAGAGAGAAGTTGCTATTCAACATATGACTAATGATAAAAAAAAAGAAGAAATCAAAAATTTAAAAAACTAATCATGATCTATTTATATGAACGAAAATTTGTTTGTATGATGTAATTTCAGTAATGTTTAAATGCCATTCAAGTTTAAAACAACCTTTTAGAGTATAGTAACTTAAATATTTTCTCAAGTAGAAGTGGTGTATACTTAAAAATAATGATTTTTCTGTCCAAGCAAAGTTTCGGATAATCAGCTTAATAAAAAATGGTATTTTTGAAAAAAATTAATAAAATCTTTATACAGCATAATGTTTTGACTATAAATTTGAAAATAACGAAATATAAATTAAGATACTGTATTATGCCAACTTGAGATATAAAAAATCGTTGTTTAATTAAAAAAGAAAATAAATAGAAAAAATTTATTAAACAATAAAATATTTTATAAAACAAAAAATAACACAAAATTGCAATATCTTTTTTAAAATAATATATAAAATAACCTAAACCAACATTTAAATGAAATTTTTTAATTTACAAATTATATTATAATAATATCATTATTAATATATTAAATATTTGTAATATTATGTAAATCTTTATAAAATAACTAACTTATTATTAATATATTATTATTATTTAAAGAACAATGTATATTATTAAAAGATAATTAGTAAGTTAACTAAAATAATTTTATTGTTAAAATTATTAACAGTTATAATTATTAAATATTAAAAATTTATAAATTATCAAATAAATAAATCAAATAAAAAAATACAATTTAATATCACTTAAAAATTTTATATTTAAATTAATAAACTTTCATTAAAAGAAATCTTATTTTGGATTTAAATTATTTAAAAATCATATTTGTTCTTAGTATAAACTTTTTGAAAAATATTTAAAGAATTTATTTTTTAAAAAATATATAAATTCAATTATTATATTTTTAAACTAGAATTATATTGTAAAAATATTTAATAAACAAGAATAATAAACCTTTTTAAAAGTAAAAAAAATTTTTATTTGTAAATTTAATAAAAAATAAAATTATTATATTATATTATTATTTATTTATCTTTAATATTATAGAATTTGACACTTTATAAATTTTTAAAAAAAAACTTTTTATAAACTTTTTTATTTTATTATTATTATTTATTTTATTCTATGTTAAGCTAATTATATATGCTTTATTAAATATTAATATATCATATACTGTAAAATATGTTATTAAAGTCAAATCTCTAATTAACTAAATATAACTTCAAAAATAATTTATTATTTTATTAGTAGCTCAAGTGAAAACCCTTCCAACTATTAATTTCATTACTTGCAGATCATTACTACAAATCCTTTTATAAGTTTTAACAAAAGTTAAAACCCTAATCACCTTATTTCATATTTTACTTCTTCTAGAAAAGTTCATTTTAGACCCTTCTCTTTTAGTTTTTCTTCTTTTTATAAAGATTTTTTTGTAATTATAATCTTGTTGTTTTGATTTAAAGGACTAGTTAATCTTTTTATTTTGTTTTTTCTATAAATCCCTTGTACTTGTTCCTATTTGATCATTCTTAAGCATTTTTTATTCTAGATCTTCTTTTGAAATTAATTACAAATCTTTTTCTATATTTTCATTATCCATTTTTAGGTTTCTTTACTTATTCTTTTCTGGTTTGATATTTTTAATATCTGATTATTTTATATTAGTCACATACAAAAGTTTAGAATATTCTAATCTATTTCTGCAGTTTTTTCTATAAGCCTGGCCATATATTTGTCCAATTCTCTTAATTCTACTTTGTCTTCAATCAAAAGTCTTATTTCTTTCTCTTACACCTCTTTTCTTTTATTATACAGAAGTTTTCAAAAGTCTTTAAAATGCTTTTAGTTTCTTTGTTCCATATTTTTTGCTATTGAGCTTTATATGCTAAGTATTTTAGTATGTGTTCTATTGTTTTTGGTTGCTGTTTATTTTTTTTTATTTTTTTTTTTTTAACCCGCAGTCAGGTCAACATAGTTTGTCTTTATTGTATATATATCAAATATTTACAAATTATTTTGACTTTCACATACTAACTCACCAGTCGTCAAAAAACTATTTCTCTAGATGCAACTTAGGGAATGATATTTTGCTCCTTTACTGACTTGGATAAATCCTTTAGTCAATAAACTCATTGCCTATAGGTCATTACTGTAAATCATTCTAAATTCCGACTGCAGTTAAAACCAAACCATTTCCTTCCATAACAAATCCAATTCTTGATGATTTCTATGTACTTCGTTTCCTCCTTTCTTTCAAAAACTTCTTGTCTAGATCTTCTGCAAGTGTGGGTTCTTCTTTCTGTTCTTATACGGTCTGCATGATGGATCAGTGCCCATGTCTTTTGATTCGTTTGTCTTTTTAGTAATATTCTACTTCTTTTCCCACTCTATAACTTTTTTACAGCGGCTATTCCATATATCCTTCTTGAAATTTTTCCTATTTTATAACAAAGCTTACCGATTATGCTTTGTGTGACTGTCAGGAGAATCTTGAGTTGAACTTTGAGATAATTCTTCAAGGAAGTAGTTTTGTTCTCTTCTATATATCCACAAATAGTGTTGAAAAGGTTTCTATCAGATCACTGAATCTCATTCAACTATTTATTTGTTCAGTTATTGATTTCAGGATAGACTTCTTCTTTGTTTTTGATTTCTTTATTGATAAATTGGTTAATCTTTTCCTTTGCTTTTCTTCATATATTCTCTCTGATTTCTTTAGTGACTGAACATTCGAACAAGTGTCCTAAAGTTTCTTCTTTAAGTTCATATACTAAACATGTCATTATGATATAAATATCTGGTTTTCTTTTCTTCAATATCTGTAATACTGGAAGTTCATTATGGGTCAGATTAGTTAGGAAGCTTTTGTCTTTATTATCTTT